GCCGCTCCTCCTCTCGCCCCTCGCGCCGTGCCAATAGCAGCAGCATGTCACAAGGCGAGGAGGAGGAGGAGGAGGAGGACACCACGCATGCCTGCTGCCGCCCCACTTGGGATAGTGGGAGCTGGGAGGCGCGGGGGGAGGCCCCTGCCCGCCTCCCCCCCTCCCGCGCGCAGCCGCCCGGCATCCGGCCGCAGGAGGGTGGGAACCCGGGGCAGGGGAAGGGCTGAGCGGAAAAAGTGGATGTCCAAGTGTCGGCTTCAAGCCCCTCCACCGGGTCTCCCAGCCCCTTCCCCGCCTGGCTGCGAGCGAGTCCCGCAGCGTCGTTGTCACCCTCGCAGACCGTGAGGGCTGGAGGGGACCTCGAGGGCTAGGCCGGAGGGTTTCAACCCCCAGGTTGCAGTATTGCCAACGCTCATGATTTTGGCCATTGTTCTTAAAGTCTGTGCTGCGGAATGTGAAAAACTTTGCTCTTTCGTGTGTGTGTGTGTGTGTGAAAGAGCAAAGTTTTTCACATTGTGAAAAACTTTGCTTTCTTTCATGTATGTATATGTGTGTGTGTATGAAAGAGCAACGTTTTTGTATGAAAACTTGTGTGTGTGTGTGTGTGTATGAAAGAGCAAAGTTTTTCACATTCCTGAAGCATAGGCTTTAAGAACAATGCCAAAAATCATGGGAGTTGGCAACCGGTTGTGACCCGTAAGTGGGTCATGGGCATATACCAAAGGGTTGTGAACGAACTTTAAAAATGGATCCTCCTTTAAAGGAGAAAAATGTGGGGAACTGGGGCTTTTCCCTTGCTGGCTGGCAGAGGTCCAGCCTGTGAGGGGCTGCTTGGAGCCCCCCTGCCCCCACACTGGGGGCTGGGGTCAGGGGCATTGGGTCAAGGCTGGCCATCGATGTTTACAGGTGGGTCCTGGTACAAAAAGGGTGAGAACCACTGGTCCAGTCCTCCATCCTCCTGCTCAAAGCAGGACCAGCCCTAACTAGATCATTCCTGCCTGGGCTTTGTCCAGCTGGGCCTTAAAATGCTCCAAGGGATGGAGTTTCCACAACTGCTCTAGATAACCCGTTCACCCTCCTAGTGAGAAAAACTTTCCTAAGATAGGAACCACAAGTGTTAGGTTATTGTGATTTGACAGTCACCAAAGGGAACTGATGCCTAAAACAGCTTGATTGCCTTAATGCAACAACTTAATTAGCGAGACATTTTATCCTATTTCTTGGCATACAAAAAGGAGAGGTTTCCCATGGTTCAATTAGCAGGGGGTTTGGGGGTGCTTTGAGACTGCAGTATATCAGAAGAGCTGGAGCAGATGCTCCTGGGGACCCTTTGAGACCAACAGTCGCCTGTGGATGCAAGAGCTTGGACTCAATGGCCCAGGAGGCCTCTTTCAGTTTTTTGTCACCATGAATACACCCAAACACTGCAGGGTTGGGACATGGAAGTAGATAACCTGATTCACTCTGTGTTATCAGCATCATGTTATGTCCCATCACAAGGGGTAAAATCACCAACTTCCCCATACGTGGATTGCAAAGAAAACAGTCCCAAATGATTGAACTTTGACTACCTGCCTCTTCACATGGCAGGAGTAACAACCCCCCCATCCAGATTATTCATCAAAAATCCACTTCCACACTGTATGGTCATTAACGTTTTAGTGGGAAAGAGCACTGCAGGATAAGTCCCAGTGCAGACTAGAAAATGCATGAGGGTGAATAACAGCACAGTCATCACTTCCAGGAACATATTGCTTATGAAGGCATGAAAAGCAATAGTAACATAAGGTCACATGAAAGGCAATACCAGGGCATCTCTGAGATGAGTAACTATTTGGGATAAAGAAACCCAACGGGTGGAGATTGGTAGGGGAGGGGGGATGCCAAAACCAGAGTCAATGAGAAAGGGCTGCCCAGCCTTTGATATGCATCCTTGCAGAGGGAGAAAAGTAGCGAACAGAATAAACTAGTGGCACTCAGGGACTGTACCCAGCTTTATGGAGGTCAGCAGCCGAAGCGGTGCAGACAAGCCCTGCTTAACACTGTTTCACTTGGTGCTATTTCGCTATAACGCTCCTTTTAAACTGATACCCAACTCCACTTATTACCCAGCGAGTTTTGTTGTAACACTCACAGTCACCATCATCAAAAACATTCAGTTTCGCTTAACGCTTATTTTTTCTGCTGCAACGAAGAACACTACGCGAGGCAACCTGTACAGTAGAACCTCGCCTGCTCACCCTGATGATGGTGGAAACAATGCAAACTGGGGCCTGATGTGAAGCCTGCCGAGGTCAGGTCAAGTCATTTCATTGTGTGCACGGGCTCCAGGCGAGCTGTCGCAGGGCACCTCCAGCTCCCAATTCATGTCCTTACTCCTGAAGCCATTTCTAGTTGATGTGCAGAAAATGTGCAACTCATGTACCGAATGAAGCCAGTTCTACACACTTTCAATGGAGGAGTCGTGCAAATCAAGGCCCCCTCCATCACTTCCGTTAATTGAACGGCATCTAATTAAAAATAAATTGTTTATTGGCCCACCCGCCTATATTCCCTCCCTCAACCTCCCGCGCCACCTTGCGGCGTCCCTCGCCGGCCGCCGTAGCTCAGCCCTATACGTGGCAGGGGGGGGCCTATGAGGGGCGGCCCTGAGCCCGGAAGAGGCGTGGCCTGGATCGGAAGTGATCCGCTAAGCCCAGCCATGTTGATGGTGAGGGTGGTGGTGTTGTTGCTGGCTGTGTTGACGCTTCTTACGCTCGGTCGCGTCGTGAGCATCGACGCATACATTGAGGAGTGCTTTCCGGAGCGTGTCCGGGCCGGCATCAAGATGGGGCTCATCTTCGAGGTGATCGAGGGTTGCTTTCCTCGACATCGACGTGGAGGTGCGGGCCGGGGCTGAGGGGCCAGGGGAGGGTGTGGGGGCCGCTGCCCTGGTCTTAGCCGGGGGAGGCGGCGTCTGCTCCCCCGCGCCAGCCCCGAGCAGGTTCCTGCGGGGTGGGTTTCATTGAAATGAAATCGACTGAAATTCCTGGTCAGGAAGTCTCGGTTTAATGTTTTCAATAAAAAGCGTGCCCCTGGGTGAAAGACCCTTCATACCTGCTCTTTGCAGTGCAGGAGTTGACGTTGGTTTTGTTCTTACTAGATCCCGCTACACGTTTTAGTCCTGATTTTGAGTCTGATGGACTCAGTGTTTTTGTCGTGGGATGTTTTTCAACTGCCCCAACAAATGATATTGCTTTGGCAACTGCAGATGCTGGCATCTCTTAGGATGGGCTGGATTTATGACCATTGTATGAAAAAAAAAAATTGGTATTATACCATGGGCAGCGCTGTTCCTAAGGGGGTGTGAATTGGGGCAACTGCCCTGGGCCCTGTGCTTTGGGGGGGGAGGGAGTCAACGGACAGTGCTGTACAGGCCCCACTGCGTGCCACCAGCTCTGGGTTTTGTCGGCTTGCCACCCCTCAGCCCCGCACAGGCTGTTCTGCACACCCCAAGGGACGGCTCTGACCATGGGATTGGATTTAGTAGTGTTGTACCATGGGAGAGAGAAGTAAAGAAAACAATCAAATCCAATTTAAATTGGAGACCACAGAAAGTAACGTAACTAGGGTAAGAAATTTGGGTCAGTGCTTCTAGTTTTGGGGACAGGAGGCTTACGGACGTAGTGTAGTGGTCAGTACACTGGTTCCATTTTCTCTGCAACAATATAGAAATATAGACCCAAGAACAATAATGATTCGTTACATCGAGTCCTTTTTTTCTGAGGTATTTTCTCTGCATTTATTTGCAGAGAAACCTACAACATGCAAGGTTGTAGGTAGACTAAAGCTTCAGTTATGACCTGAATACAATGTGTTTTGCGAGTGCAAGAGTTTTGTACATCTTGGCTGGTAGAAAGGCATTCGCATAGCTTCTTAAATAGGTGTTTTCTGAGTTCTGATGCAAATTGGAAGAAAAATATCATTTAGGATTGCACTGTCTAGAGAGAATGTCTTGACTTTAGTTCGTTTGCTTCTATTAATTTTTTAATTCATGATTTCACTATTGTGTGCCTGTCATGATATTATCTTTTTGCCTCCAGATTATGAGACCTGATAATCAAGTGATTTACAAAGTTGAAAGAGAATCCGATGGAAACTACACATTTGCTGCTCACATGAATGGAACTTACAAGTTTTGCTTCAGCAACAAAATGGGAGCCACCCTGATTTCTAAGATAGTGAGTTTCACTATTGATATTGGGGAAGTTCCACAAGGGCAAGACATGGAGACAGAAGGTGAGGGGAGCTTCTGGAAGGGAAATGGTTTTGATATCCTAGCGCATCAGTTCAAAACGCCTGCTAGAGGTTGCAGAATTCCAAGACTTATTCAGTCCATTGAGTTGGCTGGTTAAAGTGGAATTCAGCTAAAATGTTGAACGTTCAGTAACTTTAGATATGCCATAGTTGTTAGTTTTCTGTTACTGAAGTGGGTTTGGAGAGCAGGCAGAGGTGGAGGAATCACTTCCTTTATAATATTACAGCTAATGCATAACCTGTAAATGAGAAATGTTGAGTGTGTTATACTAGATAGTTGAATTCTGTGGTAAATAGATCAAATTGTAATATTATTTAGAAAATCCCTACCCAGTTGAGTACCTATTTTTAGCAAATATTTAATCCACGTACGATGTGAGAGCATGGTTCCACGCCCCCCTCAAGATACTTAACAGTTTCCTAATTGTTTATGTTCTCATCAACAAAAGTTACAGTTAAAGGATTCTCTCAAGTCTGGCTGTCACACTTATTGTGCAGAATACTGATACAAGGCTGGGTTCTCTTGTTTAAGGGGAGTGCTTGCCTGTAAGTATTTTTTAGCTTGTTTATATGGTTGATATAGACATACGCAGTTGTTGTAGAAGATCTGGCTTCTGATGTTTGAATGTTGCGGTCAATCTGCCTGGACTTGATAGTCCCCCTTTCTGGAACTTTCCCGCCATGCCTTGTTGTCAGTAACACCTCCCCACCCCAACAAAACAAAAAACAAAAAGAAAGGTGTAAAACTGAGGAGGTAGATCAGCTTGATCTTACTTTGGCTTCTTTGCAGGGCTCTTCCATCCCCGTACCCTGCCCTCACCACTCCAGGTGTTCTGGGTGCCTTGTTCATCAAGGACCTTGTTTACACTGTTAATCAGATACTCTAACTTGGCCCTGTTTTCTCCCTCCTCCAGGTAATTCTCCTGAAGCACCGTCACTCACCACTAAGAATCCCCATTGGACTCTGAGGAACCCTCTCGTATTCAGTCCAACGCCAGGTAAGTCAGATCTTTGCTTTTTCTACTTGCTGCTATTTTGGTCTGGCCAGGTAGGCACTGCACCTATGTGCAGTGGCAGCAGACTTGCCCCTGCCTGCTTCCTCTCTCTGCGGAACACACACACCTGCTTGACCTGTCTGCTTCACCCACCCGGATCAGTTATTCCTTCACTAATCATATTTTGCGCATCCTGAATCGAGACACGCTGGCACAATCATGGAGCCAATTTTCACCTGCACCATGGGTTTTGGAGCCCCTTTAGTTGCCCGAAACTACAGTCCATTTGCTCTTCATCCACCAGTTCTGTTACTCTTCCTTTTAACATTTCTGGCCCCGTCTCTCCCAGGTGCCTTCTTCATTGAGGACCTTGTTTACAGTCTTAATGAGAGATTCTAGCTCAGTCTTTGGTGTGTGAAATGACGGGCATAGCCAATGATAGGACGCACCCTCCCAAAGGGTTTCCACAGTCTAGTAAGTTGCAGTATTGCTTATTCCCTTGTATTTCCCAGAGTACTCTGAATTTGTTCTAGGCAAATATTCCACGCCTTAACTCATGGCCAATAGGGCTCTCAGGGTATCAGCTGGCACCGTCAGTCACCCATCAATATTTCTGGTGCCTCTGGCCCTTAATTAGCTCCACACTCAGAGGGTATTCCGTCTTCTCAGGGTCAGCCCTTATCTGTGCCCTGTTTTCTTTCATCCTTCAGGTAATTCTCCCAAAGCACCTTCGCTCGCCACTAAAAATCCCTGTCAGATACCGAGGAACCCTCTTGCATTCAGTCTCATACCAGGTAAGTCAAATCTTTGTTCTTCTACTTGCTGCTGTCTTGGTCTGGCCAGGTAGATGCCGCACCTCTGTGCGGTTGCAGGAGACTTGGCCCTGCCAGCTTCCCCCTTCTAGGGAAAACACATGCCTGCTCAACCTGGCACTTAACTCACCTGGCTGTTTGAGCCTATCAGCATAATTTCCAGTTTGCTGCTTCTCCATGTCACAGTTGGCACTGGTCATTAGAGTCCAGAGCTCCAGACCCCACCTTGGTAACTGTCTTACCATGCAGAGACTCTCCGTTCTGTGGCATGTGCTTGTTTTTTAGCCTCTAAAAAAAAAAAAAAAAAAGCTTATGCCCTACCATGCCACATCTAAAACGAATCATTTCTTGACCAAATGCCATCCTTACTGGTCTTGGCATCCCTCTTATTCAGGTTTCTTTGCTACTCCCCCAGGTTTGACATTCTTCCCTTTTTGTTTCCACCTCCTCAGCTGCCGAAAAGGACTCATAACCCAAGAGGTCCTCGGTGCCTCTGGCCCTTAATTATCTCCATACTGGCAGGGAATTCCTTGGTCACAGGATCGGCTCTTATCTGTGCCCTGTTTTCTTCCCTCCTCCAGGTAACTCTCTCGAAGCACCTTCACTTACCACTAAGAATCCCCCTTTGGACGCTGAGGGACCCTCTTGCATTCAGTCTCACGCCAGGTAAGTCAGATCTTCACTGTTGTACTTGCTGCCATCTTGGTCTGGCAGGTAAACACTGCAGCTCCATGCAATTGTAGGAGACTCTCTCCCGCCTGCTTCTCTTCTCTGGGGAAAACACATACCTGCCCGATCCGGCATTTAACTCTCCTTGTTGCTTGAGCCTATCAGCATAACTTCCAGTCTGCCACTTTTTTCCATGCCACAGCTGGCACTGGTAACTAGTGTGGACCTCCAAACCCTGCCTTGGTAAGTAGCTTAGCATGCAGAGGCTCCCTATTCCACGGAATCTGCTTGTTTTCAGTCTCTCATGGTGGGGCATAACTGCTGCTCTGTCACAGCAAGCTTTTTGTTGTTACCAGCCACTTCCTAGTTGGTGGATAAGAAAATACTTCAGCCCTGTCTTGGGTAAACATCTAGGTATTCATTTGAAGAAGACGGTCCAAGTAAAGATAACTTGCGTACGGGCAGGATCAGGGCCCATCTCTTAAGTGAGTTTTTCTGGATGAGACCATTTCTGTTGTTGGGTCCTGGAGGGTGGTAGTAGTCTAGTGGATATGCAGTGTCAGAACCCAAGTGTCATACTGGGTCAGACCAATGGTCCATCTAGCCCAATATGCCATCTCTGACAGCGACAGAAATAGATGCTTTAGAAGGAGAGCATTGAACCTGATTCTCTAGAGTGATCTATCTCCTATCATCCATGAATTTATCCATTCCTCCTTTGAACCTGTCTATGCTACCTGCCTCCACCCCCTGTGACAATGAATTTCGTAAGTTAACTATGTATTGCCTAAAAAAGTTCTCATGTATTTGCCACTACTGTTTGAGTTAGCACAGGAGGCATTGGATGAGAAGTGAGAGCCCTAGCCATGAATTAGAATTTCAGCGTGGTAGGGACTGTTAATAGCACAGAGCAAGATGGTCCCTATGCCAAACAGCCGACTTTCTCTGACAAGACAATGGCATACAGTGGGTTATGGTATCAGAACACCACCTGCTTAATTGCTGCTATCAATTTTTTTAGGCTCCAGTTTTGTACCAGGAGGCACAAAGGCATCTATGGCAGTCAGTGATGACTTGAAAGTTATAGAGATTAGCTTTTAGGAACTGGCTTGTAGCTAGAGTAGATATTGCATTGGAACAATGGTTCAGGCTTAATTGGCAAAGGTTAACTGGTTTCTAAAAGCCTGTTTGTGACACAGTTTCATAGCCTTCAGGGAAGATACCGTTTCCGAGGCCAACAGACAAGCGGGCATACGCATCCTGGGAATTTAAAAACATCCAAACTGTTCCATAACAAAAGATAGGCTTGCTGCATTGGTGCCAGGGTATAGTGCCCATCTGTAAAACCCTTGGGAATTCTGGTTTTGGTGGACTTACCAAATTAGGCTGGGGTTGCCCAAATGAAGACACCAGTAAATGACCAAATTAAGGTTGTATGGATATGATGGGTTTGTGGAACCAAACAACTATACTGGCAGAACAGAACATGGACAGTATGACAACCACAGGAAAACCAATCAACGATTCCCAGAAATGAAGAGTCATCGGAGGAGAAAGATAATACAGAAGGAGTGATCCTGTGGGGGTGTATCCTGAGGCCACCATGGGCAGATGGCACACCACTAGCTGATTTCACCCACCCCATTGTGGGGAGTGGGCATCGACCTTCGACCTCTAGGCTGCTGATATCTGGCATACTTCAAGCTAAAGCCACAGCGTAGTGTTTGTGTATTGGCCAGATATACTTACTTTTCTTCTGTGACACCCTCAGGACTGGTAGATAAGTAGAACTGGGGAGGGGGTGTATTTTTTTTGCTTTGCCTACACTATTCTTATCTGCTATCACTGTATATCAATAAAACTTGCCTATTATTGAATGGAAGAAGTTGTAGTTGGTCTGAGGCTTTGGGCGGCCCAGAACAAGATATCAGGACTGGGTCATAAATCCAGTGCCAACAGTCAGGAGGTCTTTATGCATAATGGGACATTGGGTCTCAACCTTTCCGGACTTTTGCAATGAAAGATCCCCCATTGAGATACTATCCATAGCTCTTGTGAACTGAGTAGCACCCAGTTTCAAAAACTGATTTATACATTACAATCAATGCTCACCTACTTGCAGAGGGGCTGGAGGATGTTCAGGCAGGCCTGGGTTCATTTACTTAGCCTCTCTTTATCTCCTCACATCTCAGGGGCCTCTTAAGAGGTTCTGTTGGTAATCAAGGGTGCCCCAACCCCCTGGTTGAAAATGCTTTCCTCTCCTTACTTTTTGTTTCCCTTCAGGCAAGCCCAGCTTTAGCTTTGAAACTAGAAACATTCTGAAACTTTCTAAATGTTTTTACTGCCCTTGTTTCATTTCAAGGCTGTTTCAAATCCCTTCTTTTTGTT